GGCTGGCAGGTGACTGAAGCTCCCAACCGCTCCTTTTAATCTTTTTTTTTTTATCCTGAGCCAGCTTTAGCTCTGAGGCTTGGCTTCAGTCTGAGGCCTCGGCTGCTGAAAGCAGGTTTCTGGCCTTTGTTTACCTTCTGTATTTGAAACAATATTGTGGTACTGCAGGCTGAAGCCTGTCTGACTAAAGCAGGTTTCTGGAGTTTTGTTTAGCTTCTATATTTGTTACAATATTTCTTAGAGTTGCAGCTCAGAGGCCGGCAAGACAGGCGGGGAAGCTTGGCTTCCTCCATCACTGAAGCAAGAGCCTCCCTGTTCACTTCAAGCTGCCTGGCTGCCGGCCGCCATCTTGGCTGGCAGTTAATTTGCATATCTCCCTGATTAGCCAATGGGAAGGGTAGTGGAGGTATGGCTAATTACCATGTTTCACTTTTATTGGATTGGATAGAATTATTCAGTTGGTAAAAATGTAGTTGACTTACAACATCACAGTAATATATTATTGCTTAAAACATGGTTATGGCTATATTATGGCTCAATAAGAAATACAAATGAAATAGAGGATACTGAGTTTTTATTTTTATTTACTTTTAAATATATTTTTATTGATTTCAGAGAGGGAGAGAGAGGTAGAAACATCAATGATGAGAGGGAATCATTGATCAGCTGCCTCCTGTATGCCCTAGACTGGGGATCCAGCCCGCAACCCGGGCATGTCCCCTGACTGGGAATCGAACCATGATCTCTTGGTTCATAGGTTGACACTTAACCACTGAGCCAAGCCAGCTGGGCAATGCTGAGTTTTAATTTATTTTATTTTATTTTATTTTTTAATTAAATCTTTATTGTTCAGATTATTACAGTTGTTCCTCTCCCCCCCCAACCCCCCGCCCACAGCTCCCCCACCTGGTTCCCACCCCACCCTCTGCCCTTACCCTCCCCATATTGTCCTCATCCATAGGTGTACGATTTTTGTCCAGTCTCTTCCTGCCCCCCCCCCCCCCCTTTCGCCC